TATTGTTTTGTTTTTGTTTTAATAGTTATTAATCTTAAATTTGTAATGGGTTAGAGTATTCTTTATTTTTTAAAATTTTATTTGGTTAATTAGAACAAAAAATGTTTGAGTTTTGTATTAAACAAATTTTTTTTAGTACATACATTAAATAATAAATTATATAATAAACAATAATTTTTTAAAAATTTTTTCTTATTCATTTCAAAATTTAAATTTAAAATCTTCTTTTCTTAACACCCATTAAAAGAAAGTGTGTAACTGTTTCGATTACTTCTTGTACTTGTTTTACTTTTGAGAAAAAAATCCCCACTGCGATGAAACATCAAACACTACATGTGGGCATTAAATCAAAGCGACAACAACATTTTATTCTTTGAATGACACAAAACCGTCCAATAGAATGCAATTGCCTTGTCAGAATCCTAACCAAAAAATTAACAAACTAGGCATTCCTCAAATAATTTCACCGAAGAGACTCGCAACCTATGAAAATTCAACATTCAGTAGTACAGAAACTGAGAATAAATGATACATTCAGCAATATTTGCAGGTTTCACGCACGACAACTAGGCAGTCCTATTGGAGGCCTCCGCAATTTTTGGTGGTTTTTAGCTCCATTCTTCACTATGAGAGCTGTAGCCATACCCCAGCTGGCATGCGATTCAAAATGACAGTGCATAAACCATACCCCTGTAAGATAAGACAAAGTAGCAGAGTTTTCTAAAGTTAATAAGAAACACTTGTGTGTTCATCCCTCTCCTCTACCAATCTTAACCTCGTAAGGTGGGGCGTCAAGGAAAAATTAAATTTCTTTGAGTGCCTTATCTTACAAGATGACCTTTTTTTGCCTACAGATCCAATTCTTGTCGTAAAAGATATAGAGGGGTTTAATTCTCGCTGCATATTAATAGTCTAAGAGAAAAAACCAAAGTGAATACTGGAAGTAGATTAGAAAATTACCAGGATTTCTAGCAAAAAATCTGACGGCTGTCCACCCACTCCCAAAAACAACAGCAGTGTTCAGCTCTGGTGGATCATCCGTGTTATATGAAGCAGGATCAGTCGTACTGTTAAAAGTTCCATTATTCATGCCGACTTGGAAGAAGCTGTAACCGTGCAGATGGAGTGGATGACCTCCTGCAGGACCAAAATCTATTGCCTGAAACACAATCTCAACTGGATCTCCATAATTCAACTCAATCACATTCGTTCCTTGGTAAGCATAGGTTGCATTTTCCACTTCTTCGTTTGGAGTAAGCAGATAACTTGTGTTGTAAATACTTGAAGGACCCCTGTCAAAGTGAAGAAAAAATTCGTGTACATCCTTGGGTTTTCTAATAATACAAATATGGGAACATGTAATACGAAGGAAAATTTAAAGACATATATTTTCAATACATACCTGAAGTATGCCCGTAGAACATCGAGCTTAGTTGGGGCTGCAAAACTAATTCTGTTAAAGCTTGCAGCAAGTTTGCTCCCTGAAGATGGACAATTGGATGAACCATTGCAATTTACTGTATCTAAACGCACCGTTAAAATGATTCGTGTAACATTAACATTGCCTCGTGGGACTTCTTTCTCTGTTCTGGAATATAAGCTCCGAAGTTTGGCGGTGAAATTAAATGCGGTACTGTTATCTGTAGCACCAGGTAAGGTTGGGAATGTCGTATTGACTACAGGATCAACAGGGTTTGAATATATGAGAAATCCTGTGGTGTTTTGCGCGCTAGCGTTAACAGCACTATCATCAAAATACCGATAAAGCATGTAATATCGACTTTGCTTCTGGTTTGCCACAAACGTAACATCCATGGTTTGCCCCGGATGTAACAGAACATATGCAGTGGAAAATGGCTTGACTAATGCCCCATCTCTTGCAACAACCGTCAAATTATGGCCCATGATGCCAAAATATTGTGGTTCATGCATTGCAGCGTGGACAAGGTGGAGAAGATGAGTTTCCCCTCGTTTAACTGTCATATTATAGATCGGCTCCGAAACTACAAGGTGAAAATTTTGTTGTAGAAGTGTCAGGTAAGCGCTCGTGCGAGAAAAATGTTATTTTCTTAGAGATTATTTTAATTTGCTTGACTTCCATACCGTTGTTGCATGTAACTTGATCACCGGGCAAGCCGTTGAGTGTATACCCAGCTGCATCAGCTATAGCACTTCCGTTAGCCGCAATAATATCACTTATTTCTTTCAAATCTTGATTGTACCAGGTCCCTGCCAATACAACATAAAATGAAGGGTCAAGATCCGCATCACATACAAAAAATAAAATATAAATTATTTGAATTCTTCTTGTCCTTTAACCAGAATATGGATTACAGACGTTTTTTACCTAACCCATATACCATATAGATTAAAATTTTTAGTCCGTGTCCTTCCCCCAGTTGCAAAAATTCAAAAGTTAGAGGACGGAAATACCGAACACAAGTGTATGATCTCGGAATCGATATGGAGAGTATTGTAATTCATTCGCAGGAGGTAAAATGACAAGAGCGCCATGAACAGTGGCGCGAGACCAACCACTGTGGGCATGCCACCATAAGGTCCCTATCTCATCCGATAATATAACATCATATGTAAAACTTTTTCCAGGCTGAATTGGGCATTGTGTCACATTTTCTGGGCCATCTGACCATGGATTCCTTGGTTGTTTCACACCGTGCCTAACACAACACCAAAAATACTTTAAACATGATGTTTCATTGTTGGTTTTGTAGCAGAGAGCTATCTTTTATTTACGAAAATTGCAAAACTATATCATGATTTGGTCACCATACCAATGAATGGTGATACCGTAAGTCCCTTTATTTAGGACATGAACACGCACTCTCTGTCCCCTCTGAACCCGAATCTCTGGTCCAGGATAGCTGCCGTTTATGGTCAGAATGGCCCTGGTTTCGCAAAATTTGGTAAAATTTGCCTCCTTCACCTGCATCCAGTTCACCCACAAATGTTTAAAAATACGGAAAATTTTAATTGGGCATGCGGGGTATACAGGGAAGGGAAAGAAGCAAACAGTGCTTACAGTGAAGTAATATTCAGCTAGAGGCGGACTAACTGGGGTCGAACGGGGTGGAGGCCGTGTAGTGGGAGTTGGACGCCGAGGAACTACTTGGGGGCTAGGATTTGGACCGGCAAGAGCTCGAGCGACCGGCAACCGGTCATTGAGACAGGAAAGGGCTAAGAAAGTTAAGATGAGAAAACTCATCATCTTCCACGAACAACACATTGCTTCAGAGTGTATACTGTGTTATCAGGTCGCACCCAGCTTGTTGTGCAGTTCAGCTTCTATTAATTTGGGGGTATTTAAAGATGAAGAAATGCAGGTCAATTGCATGGTGTTCTATGAGTCAGTCTTCATTATTAACGATATTTAAATTCTGCATTAGGTGGGATTAGCTGTCATTTTATTAATACTGGTTTTGGGTTGTTGCGGTTATTAAACATATATCTAGTGGGCTATTTGCGGGGATTTTTTTTTTATTATTATTTACAGTTAGGTGGCTTTTAATTAAATTTTATTGTTAATAACTTAAATAATTTAATAATTATTTTTTTTATTGAAAATAAGAGTTCTTGAATTTGAGTTTTATGACATGCCGATAGAGTATGATGAGAGATGAGAGATGATTACTTTTCAGTGTACAATCAAGATCAAAAAAATAATTATTCGTATATTTTTTAGTTTAATATATCTTTCGAGATTTACTTGATTTAATTATTAAAATATAATATAATTAAATACAATAAATTCATATACATGTTGTATGTATAATTATATTTTTAAATTTATTTATTTTTAATTTTATATCAACAATAATAATTTTTAAATAATTATATTAAATCAGAGAATTTACCCATCCATATCCACAAGAATATCGTTAATTTCCTACTAGTGGATTTTAGTTTAGATGTGTTGTAATGATGTTAGAAGCACATTGTGCAGTGAAGAATTAATGATATATATACATCATTTTTTTAGTACCGGCAGCTGATTTGACTAGGCTGTTGCGTAACGACAAATATAAATATTTTTTTAGCATAACAGTGGAATTCTTTTTTATGAGACATAATAGTGGAATTTTAGTTATTTAAAAAACGTTGGATAAGAATTATTAGTTGTTTTTTCATTTTGGAGGACAATATAAAGACTGATATGGACAATAGACTTTTAAATTTTAATATGATGAGTAAGTGTTATTTTTAT